CACACACACTCTCACACACACTCTCACACACTCACACACACACACACTGGCTGGCAGAGCAATGTGTTTCTTGGCATTCTGCAAATGTCAGAAGGATTGTGTTTGCAAATTCGACCAGGCACCTGGAGATTACATTTTATCAACACACAAATGAGCAGAGCTTCATACGACACCAGGCACCGTGACAGAATACTAACCACGGCCGAGGCCACGGGAAGATGGCTGTGACATTGAATTGTGTGTGTGTGTGTGTGTGTGTGTGTGTGTGTGTGTGTGTGTGTGAATATGAACACTGAATAATCTCTTGCTGCAGGGAGACGATGACGCTCGCTGGAGTTTATTCTTCCCTCAGCCCAGAGACGTCTGTAGAACAATATGTTTCTATATTATTATTGTTGTTCTTGTTAATAATGATAATAATAATAATAATAATAATCAATTATCTGACGGAAATAAAAATCGATTTAACGTTTTTATGTCTCTGCACCGCTAACACTCAAACACCACAGGAGGTTGTGGGTTGTCCCTCTGTCCGTCCCGGTCTTGTGAACATGATATTTGAAGCACACCTCGAGGGAACGTCTCCACAGTTGGTGAAAACGTTCAGTTGGACTCAGATGAACTGGATAGATTTGGATTATAAAAGGTCAAAGGTCACGGAGGCCTCACACTGGATAGATCCTAGAGGTCAGGATTATAAACCACGTCCTACAATACAACATGTTCTGCAAAAAGATAAGTAGAAATATATAGATACAAATATTTTTATATTCTTCAGCCACACTTGAAATGACAAACTCGAATCAGTCACTGCTGCGGTTTGAAACGTCAGGTGTGAAAGGTTCCTCGACCAAAAGATGAGAAGCTCTGTTCAGACTCAGGAGAGAAAACTTCTTCTGTTCAATCGTTGTTTGAGTCGACTTCAGTTCCTCAAAGAAAACTTCTGTCAAAAGACAAACTTTTCAGGAAAATGTTCAATTACTGGGAAACGAAGTTCACTCGGCTGAAATCAGGTCTGAAGACGGAGCTGCAGGAGGAATCATCCATCAGACGCTGACTCAAGGAAAAACTCTTTGTTTCGCTTTGTCAAAAACATTTTTACCTGGTCGTTCTCACCGCGGGACATTTACACTGTAATTAAAGGTTTGATGTCAGCGCTTCATGATGCGAGAGACACAAACACAAACTGAGCTCAAACTCTGACCGAAGCCTGAACACCTCTCGCAGTTTAAGAAACTAACACGATGTTCTTTTGTTTCAGCCTTCAAACCAACAGATCACACATTCAATCAAAAGATCATTTCACAAAGGAAACAACCACCTCAGTCCCTCATCTTTCTCTTTTCTCTGAGACGGGATCAGGACGTCCAGACCTGTGAAGGACACCTAACTTCTAAAACCTTCTCCTCAGCGTCATCCTCAGGGTTTAAAATGAGTGGATTCACAATCACAAGGCTTCAAGTCTGGAAAACAAACTGGGAGAGAAGAGGCGGAAAATGTGTGAAGAAGGAAAACTTCAAAACATGACGCTGAGTTAGTTTCAATCATTTAAAAAGTTTTTAATTCGTAAGATTTGAATCTTCTGAAAAATAATTCTGCTCAAATCTTCAAACTGATTTTAATCTTTCTTTCGTTGAACTGGTGAAGCAGCTTGTTACTGTGTTTCAAAGGTGTGTATCGATAAAGTTTATTATTGAACTGAGAAGCTGAATTGAAACTGTGAGTAAAGAACACGACAGAACGGTTACTTTCTTTTTCTTTGACTCTCTGTGATGCGACGCAGACAAAATGAAACCACACGACTTTCACATGATCTCGGTCGAGGATCCAGCTCGTCTTTTAAGATCGGACTGAAAAACACAGACGTGGTCAGAGTCATGATGAAGGTCCAGTTTCTTTAGTGATCACTCAAATCATTCAAATGGTCAAGTGAAGGGTTGAACACAAATTGTCATTGTGTCCTGCAGTTTTGAAAAGAGCATATTCACTGTTTCTGTTCTTCTTTCTTTACGGATCAGGACATAAATGTCACTTTCAGTGTTCACACATTTCTGTTGCTACGTCGGATCATCGGATCGTCTGACTTCAGAAACAAGATTCTGTTTTAAATTTTAAAATCTTTCCTCAACAATTACACATCATGTTCTGTGTTTCAATGACTTGTGACTCAAACTCTGGTTTATACTGAGCTCCTCAAACATATACTTTAATAAATGTACTATAATCTACTTCTATTGATAATTAAAGTAGGAAATAAAACCCTGATGTGCCTCTTATAAAATAATTGCTGGTCATATTGTCTTGTAATGGCTGCTGCTGTATTGATATAAATAAAAAAACAACTATTAATACTTTTGCCCTTAATGTTCTGTTGTTGTTGTTTGAATGTGATTTATGTCGGGGGCTAAAATACAGAAAAATATTTTGTCCTTTTATTTAATTCAAGGTTCTTTGGCAAAGTTGTCTTTAAACGTCGTTTTTCCAGATATTTCAAATGAAATCACGACCTTGTCATAGATACGTCTCAGTCAATCCAAGATCAATCCTCCATTAATCTTCGTCATCATTATGGTCTGTTCATCTGTTTCAGTAGCGAGCGACGCCTCCGGAATACGTCCATCATCACTTCCACTGCTTCCAGCTCCAGGAGATAAGGAATTATCACAGAGCCGACAAATTGTTTACATCTGATCAATAAGTGATCAATGAAAACGATCTGCATGCAGCGTGTGGACGGAGCCGAGAGGCCGTTCAAAGCTTTGCTTTTTAATGACCACAGCTGTCAAACCCAATCGTCCAATCAGTCATTCAACAGCAGAATAATTCAAAAAGGACGGCGGTGCGACGAGCCGGTGACGGTTGCCAGGCAGCGAGACGTCAGGGGACGTGAAACCTCGTGTGGACTTGAGACAAATTGATTTGTCAATTCAAGGCTAAGTAGGAGCAGCAGAACAGTGTCAGTGAGCGAAGACCTCATCCGTAAACATCAGTCAGGTTCTGATTGGTGAGCGATGGGGACAAAAATGTCCCTCAGTTCACACCTCCAGGTACATTCCATCAGGCTGCACCGAATCACACACACTCGTAAATATCAGTCTCCGGTTATTTTCATCCAGATTCATGAATCATTCTCCGAGAAACAGGAGAAAACATGGTGAAAATGTTCAAAAGACGGCACTGTGGTTATTTTATTTATTTACGTCCACCAACCGGAGCAGTGTCACTCGACGGACTTTTTTATTTCCACACTCATATGAGGTCACTGTGACCTTTGACCTCTAAAATCGAATCACTTCATCAGTGAGTCTAAGTGAACGTTTGTACCAAATTCAACTTTAAATCAGGTTTGTTGTTGATGCAGTGATTTTCCCTGCGGGTGTTTCTGAGGACGTGGGTGACCTTGACCTTTGACCTTCAACCACCAAAATCTAATCAGATCATCGCTGAGTCAAACTGAACATTTTTACCAAATTTGAAATAATTCTCTGGAGCCGCTCTTGAGATATCGCGTTCATAAGAAAGGGACGGATGGACCCAAAAACACAACACCTCTGGTCAGGGGGTTCCTCTCCGAGGATTTGTCTCTTCTTTGACTCGTGTCCCATCTTTCCACCAACGTGTTGCATCATCAGCGACAGAGACGAAGAAAACATGGCGGACGTTAAGCAGCAGGAACGAGTGGAAGCAGATACCAGTGTTTTTATCGTACCAGTTGGTTTTATTATGACAATGCACACTTGAAAAGCAAAAGCCTTGGCATCCTGCAAAAACCAACAATATTATGACGAGTCACTGGCATCGACCAGTCGCTGAGCCGACTTACATTATTATTGCAAAGGGTCACTTTCAGTTGATACTCATCAGCAAACTTAAGGACATAAAAATAAAATTTGTGATTACATAAAATATGGGTCATTCCTTCGGTGGATAATGGGAGATACATTTCGATATGCAAACACACACGATAAAATAAAACACTTGAATTCTGTGACCCATGACCAAAATAAAGTGTACATAACTGAATCATAGTTCAAGTCTAAGATTTTACAAATCACAGAAGACTAATCATTAATCCGCTTTTCGTTTAATAATCAAACAATTTGAGGCTGTATCAAAAACTTTGTAAAAAATTAAAATTAAGAAAATTAGAGGGAGATTTTCTCTGATCGCTAATTTCTAGAAATTTACGGTTCTTTCTTTCTGCCTCCGTCTCAACTCTCGTCTCCTCTGTGACCTTTAAAATGTGAGTATCTGTACAATCCCGTCCGGGACGGTCTCCATGGCACAAAATCTTTCTCCTCAGACTTGTATAAAAAAATAATCAACGCTGGACCAAAATAAACTGTGGAGCTCTTGTTCCCTGTGTTCACGTCAAGTCACCAAATTAAGGTCAAATTAGATGAGATACATTTTTACATTTAAATCCTGATTTACCATTAAATTCTTGATTTATCATTAAAAAGGTCTGTAATTATCGATTGTCTTATTATTGTTGCAATGAACAGGAATAAAAAAGCTCCCGCAGGTTATTTCAGTGAGCGATCCCTTTCTTCTCTCTTTCCTCCACCACCCAACAAAATATAACACAAGCTATCAGGACATCCTGCAGATATACAGTGAATTTTAAAAACCAATGAAACAAAGAAATTATTATTTATCTCTAAATCTTTTTTAGGCTACCATGTTATTCTCATCTTTACTAGACATCGTGAATAAGGATAGAAATAGACAACTAGTGTTAAAAGGCAAACCGTACTGAATCTGAATAAACACACCCACTCATTCAAACGTGCACACACTCCGCGGCCTCCCGTCCTCTTGTGTCGTCTGCCGGAGGACTTGAGACTCTTTGCTTTTTCTTTTCCGTACTCAGAGAATCTCAGTCTCCGTACGAGTTGTTGCCTGCAGCGATCTGATGGCAGTCCACTGTCTCCTCGTATTATTTCAAAGCAAGACAAAAGAGTTGTTAGGCAAATGATTCAGCCCCCCCAAAAAAGAAAAGTGATAATCTCGGGCTAAAGATGAAAACTAAAATTTTAAAATAAAAGCAAGTATCCAGATCAACAGAAGAAAAAGTAAAATGCTGCTGGGAAGGGAGCGCACGTCTCCCAATTGTCGCTTCTGACCAACTGGTCGACCCGAAAGCCAGTGCTGACGAGAATTTGTTTGTCTTAGGCCACTGTAGTAGCTGGGCGAGCACTGAAACAGTAGTCGCTCCCAGCTGTTTCAACTGATCATCCCATGTGTCCACTGTAAAACCCCACCCCACTCATCACTCCCCCTCCCAAACCTTAATCCCTTGTAGCTGTTTTGTACTTTAGCACCTCTTGTCATCTCTCCCTGTAAATGTCCAGACAGACACCAGAATGGAAACCGTCGCAGTTCCTCAGGCATCCTCTCCCTCCGCCCTACGAGGGGAGGGTTGAACTAGTCTTAGGGCGGCACGTAGGGAGGTGGTGATCTGTAGGGAGTCATGTTCTTGGGACGGGAACCCTTGCCCTCCATGGGAGTGGAGAAGGGAGGTGGTGGCTGGTAGGGAGGGGCGTTGGGGTCTTCATCCTGCAGAGCGGTGTACTCCCCCAGCAGTTCCTGGTTGAGAGGAGTGGTCTCTGGTGTGGCCATGTTGGGGTACTCGGGAGGTGGAAGTGGGGGTTTCTCTTCCTGCAGAATCAGGGGCATACTGGAAGATGGAGGCGGCTTAGAGTCATCGAGTTCGTCCGCAAAGATAATGGGAACACCTTTTTTGATGAAGGTGGCCTGGTCTTCGATGGTCAGCTTGCCCTTTCGCTTCTTCCTGTAGCAGATCATTGCAATGATTCCTGCTATGAGCAGGATTGCTGCAACCACCACAGCAGGAATGACTGTGTGGAGATAGACGTCGTCTGTGCTCTGACGGCCTGTTCCCAGAGCTGGGGTGACAGCTGGAGGTTCTGGTATATCGATCTCCCCTGGTGGGACAAAGGAGTACTTTCTGCAGCTTGCTCTTCCTTTGACCTTGACATCCAGAGGTCTAAACTCAGGCTCCATAGCGTACCTGAAGGTCTGCGAGGGCCTTCCGTCACTATTAGCGAGTGTTCTGCTCATGAGCAGGAGCTGTTCCCTTGGACACGGATGCTGCGGGAGGCTGGTGTTTGTCCACTCCACTACAATGGACCCTTTGCTGATATTCAGCAGACTCACTGTACTGCTATTGCGGTCCCCAAGGGCATACGCCAGCTTCTTGACCAGAAGGATTTTCTTGTGGATGTCGTGCGTTACTGAATGTGGCGCTCCATCGAATCGGGCTGTGAAGATCACCGGGGTCTTGTCATTGACGGGCCAGCGGTTTACACGGACCTCAAAAGCATCGATTGCATTCAGGCCTCCTTTGTCAGTTGCATATATGAAGTACTCGTGTTTCCCGACATGTTGGACGTCAGGCAGGCCGTACAGAAGTTGGCTGGTGGTGTTGAACTGGATCCAGGAACCTTCGCCAACCACTTCATTGTGGTTCTGTCTCAAGGTGAGACGCAGCTTGTCGGTTGTGCCGTCCTCATAATCAAAGAATGTATCCAGCGGGATCTTAACCTCAAAATAGGTGCCCACCAATGCATTGACCTGGTCGAGGGGGTTTTTCAGGCTTGGCTTGTGATTGGATGGATCCACGATAACACCTGGTGATGGGGTGGTGCGTGCGGCCGGCTTTGCTGTAGAGGTCTTTGACTCTCTGGGCACCGGTGTGGATTTAGGCCTCTTGGGTTTCTTGGTAGGTCTTTTGGTAGTTGTGGGCAGTGTGGCTGTCGCTTCCACATACGTGGGCCTGGTCATGGTTGGCTGGATGGGAATCGTGCTGGTAGTCTCCATCACCCTTGTTGGTTGAGGAGGTCCCAAGGTTGGTGTGTGGGCGATGGGGTCACGGACTCTGATGGTAGGCTTGCCTGGAAGGGGAACAGGGCCTCTTACAGGGGGGGCTGAGCTTTCAGTTGGTGCGGCGATAGAGGGGGAGGAGAGGGTCGGGATGATCCTCACTGGAGGCTCCACCACAGTCGTAGGGGGAAGCACAGCCAGAACAGGTGTGGGAGTGTTGTTTAATTGTCGTCTCACTCTCTTCGGGACATGAGGCTTCTTGTTGGCAATGTGCCACCCCACCACGGGGTAGCCCAGCTTGGCCGACATGGTGCCTTCCTTTGCTGGACCCTGGACACTGTTGATGTTTGGGACTGTGCTCTGGTCCAATGAGCATCCGAGTTTCCACGACAACAGAGCTCCATTCTCCACCACCTGGAGAAACATTACAGTTCATTAGAGCCGATTGCTTCGTTAATTATTTAAGAGATTAAGCAGAAATGATCCTGATCATTTAGTCACTCACCTTTTTAGCATTCCCTGGCCCAGCCATGAACGCAGACATGTCAAACAGCCTGTTGTTGACCACGGGGAGTATCTTCATGTGCTGGAGCCCCACCCCAGAGAAGCTCCTCATCTTATCCAGCAGCTCCACCCTCTGCTCTGAGCTCATTTTGGTTAAATCTGCGTCCAGGATCACCGTCAGCACCGTGACCGGTTCCTCGTTTCCACACATGAACGGCTGGACGTCGTCCTCAGCAGTGGCCTGGTTGGATGACAGCTGGGCTGCGTCTGCATCCAGATGATCTTCAGGATGAACCTCGATGGAAAACACCTCTGAAGAAGAGGACTTTGTGTGGTTGGAGATGGATGCGGAGATGTAATGGACGCCTTTGTCCTCCTCCAAAGGAAGACCCTGCAGGATTCTGCTGCTGGCGTCCCAGTGCAGCCAGGCAGGGAGGGAATCCTTCCCCATCTCAGTAATCTGAGAGACACACAGAAGAAAGACAAATGACTCATTCATCTGCAAACAGGAAAATAAGTGGATGATTAAAAGTGAAAGTGAAGTCTTCATAGACATTTAAAGGCTTTTAGACGCAGAGTGTTTGGTGACTGTTAATCGTGGAAATGTTTTTTCTTTGCTGAGAATAAAAGGATTGATGAAGGCGAGACAGAAAAAACACTAAATGTTTTTTGTCTGCAACACAACAATTGAACAGGTTTCTTCATTTCACGTTGACGGTCTCTGTTTTCCCACTTTCGTCTAAATTGAGCAGTTTATTGATGCGTGTTGAGCCTAATTTAAACATTTCTGACAGGAGCTGAATCTAAAAACAACACGATCAGGACTTACTGCTGCGTTACAACACACACACACACACACACACAGACACACACACAGACCCGCTCAGAAGCTCCGAAATCTCATTTAAACCCGACTAAAATTAAAACAACTCGGCCAATTATACGGCTGGAGACGTTCCTGTGGCTGATGGGGAGAAATGGACCGTGGGGGAGTGACGGTGCATCCACACATAAATCCAAAAACAAATGCAACTCGCGCTCCCGAACCCGACAAGTTAATTCTGTGGCTAATAAATCCTGGTTGATAAATTATGGAGAGGCAGTTCTCCCCAGACGCATCATTAATGGTCTAACCAGCACACAGGCAGCGCCGGGGGGGAGCACACCAACACGTGCACGCCCAGACACACACACACACACTGCCAAGCAAACACCAGAATATTGACACACACACACACACACACACACACACACACACAAACAAACACAAATCTTCTCCCAGACAGTACACGTGCCCCCCCCACCACCTTTCCAGGAGCTTTTAACGTAAATCCTCTGTGGACAGGAACTTCTCGAAAGCCCCTCCCCCACGAATGAGCGTACGTGGATCCGCAAGCTTCACAGTGTGCCTGTAGGGGGCGGGACCTGACTACGAGAGGAGGAGACCCCCCCCCGATGATGTCACACCCCCTGTGATGATGTTTTTGCTGCATCTCGACTCGATCCTGTTGTAACGGACGTTACCACGGTAACAGCAGATGCAATTTAAAATAAACGGAGGAATCTTTGTTGATTTTCATCGACAGACACGCGTCTCCAGCGCCACAATCCAATTTTCATCAGTTGTAATATATCAACTAATTTACAACTGATCGATAATTAATGCAAACAAACAGGAGGTTGAATCAATTATTGATCGAGCTCAGGTTCAGAAGAGGTTTTGTTTGTCATTGTTCAAAACCAAAAGCTTCACTTCTAAAAAATCTGTTAAAAGAAATAATAGTTTGTTGTGATAATTATTGATATTAATTAATATAAAGTTTGTTTAAAGTTTATTAACCTGACCACATTTTCACCCGTGTCGCCGAGTGAATCAGGCAAATCAGATAATTTATTGTTTTCATATCTTTATTTCTTCTTTCCTTTGTCATTATTTCTAAAAAGCTTCATCAGAACATGATGTTTCCAAACTGGCGTAGATAAAAAGTCTCAAAGTCATGTTTTCCTTTAGTGTCTGATCCTGGAACAGATTCTCACAACAGAAAAACATTGATTTATTCAAACGCAGGCTCCGGGAGCAACGATGGACTGAATTTGTCGCAGTGTCCCACTCGTCTCAGCTTCAGAGTGAGAGCCTCTTCACACGTGATTCAAATTAAATCATAAAGAGACAATGAAGGACGAGTGAGTTTCCAAACAGTAATCTCATCATAACTGTCATAATTGCTCTGTAAATCACTCAATTGCTTCCTGGAAGCTTGAGGACGTTCGTCCCCTCATCTGCTGCAAATAAAATACGTGAGAGGAAGAGAGAGGGAGACACAAATTCATTTTTTAAAACTTCACAACCCGACGACGGACGAAGGGTCAAACACATGACGACGATGATGTGAGGAGACGTGAAACTCGTTTTATTTTCTATTTTTACTTCCTGTGATGTCATTTCCTGGAGAATCCTCAAATGCTTCAGATAAAATGTTATTTAGGTCAATTAATGACGAAAGTACTGAAAGTGGGTTACAAATACAAAAACTCAAACATCCGTCTTCACATCACAGTAATATTTAGTAGTACTAGTATAGAAACATGAACGGAATATTTCTTAACACTTTCCATAAATGAAGTATTATTTTATCTTCCGTCTTTGAATTTAAATCACGTCATATCAATTCGCTTCCTGTCTTTCTCTCCGTTCATCTCCCACCAAAGGTTCACAACACGTGTTTTAAATGCACGAAACGAAACGTAAGGACACAAGTGTTCGAATATTTCTATTGCAGATCAATTCAAACTGCATCATGCAAACAACGTGGTCGCTCACAGGACGTCAGTTTTCCCAGCGTTCATTAAAAAGAGTGAAGTTCACTAAGTTCCCGGATTAAAAAATGTTCAACAGCTTCTTTTAAACTCTTACAAGAGCTCAGCCAAGTGTTCGTCTCCCAAAATGCACATGAAAAATAAATCAAATCCCCCAAAATGTCAAGACAAATATTTCATATCTTTTCCTGGCACACAGCTTCGGTGCGAAGGCGCTTGATGTTTTGGCCCTAAAGGTTATCGTGCGCTCTCACAGACCAGCCTCCCTTCCCCTCACACACACACACACGCTCACACACGCTCACACACGCTCACACAC